ATGAGTTAATGATAGTTAATCTGGGGGGGGGCCAAGATCTGCATTCCTAGATTCTACTAATCCTTTCCGTTGTTTGGAGAAGGAGATGGACCCAGAATCTGGAGGGACAGCCTTGAGAGTCTCCTGCCTTATCTCAAGGAAGTAATATTTCTATAGAATTAGGGAGGGGTAGTGTGTGTGAATGATTTCTGTTTAGGTCTGGCGAGACGGAGGAGAAGACCTGATACGACCTGCCCCCTTCTTCCTGCACATCTTCTGATATGCTTTGGCTTGGCCTCAGTGAGCAGAGGGCCAGCGAGGGACATAGACAGAATAGCATAGTATAGGAGCTCGCTTGTGGAATTTCTGTATCTGATTGTAAAGATAAATTAAATACAGATGTTAAACTTGGATATCTTCGTCTGTTTTCTGTATCAAACTTTGAACACGTCAGTCAAATCTTTTTTGACAACAAATGGTGACCCCTGACGTGATTTGATACAGAAAGAAGACGCGAGATGAGCTCAGATATAGGCTGGGTCTGTGTGGGCCTGGGAAATTCTCTCTGCTTTTTGAAAAAGTCGCTTCTAAAAAGGTAAGCAGATCGTTTTTTTTTTGAAAATCTGCACATTGTTTTAAATAGAAGAGAGAGAGATTTCGGCTCGACACGACTGCAGCGTGGACAGACCGCCGTGACGGGCGTTCTATCGGACGCGATAGAACAATAGTCAGGTTTTTCGACGTTTTAAACCTTGAGAGATTTGGTCTCTCTCTAAAAAAGAACATAGATGATAGAGTCCACAAGAGTTTTTAGAAGTGCAGAAGAGGCACACCTTCTTGAAGTGCAAAAGAGGCACAAGTATAGTGAAAATAGGAATAGGGACAGCTTTAGGGTCAGAACAGGATAATAAAAACCTTCCATATCCCCCGGGGGGCGGGAAAAATGGTACGTTTAATTTAAACAAAAAGCCGAGTATTTAAAATGTGGATTCTGATAATAATGATCTGATTAATGAGGAAAAAAGGAGCCACTTGGCTGTAAATACGAGTTTCCATGTGGAGAAATCACCAGAATGATCAGTTATGGAAGTTTTTCTCTTATTCTGATGTAATGTTTCAATAGTTACAGAGGTATTACGAAAAAGATCCGGCTGTACCTAGTGATGCATTAGTCATGTAAGCAAATTGTAATGTTTTTCATTACTGACGTATTTAAATAAATGTAAAGTGTCGTTTGACGTGAGAAAAACTTTTACCACTGATTAAGACCTTGTCACGATAAAAACGAGGAAAATGTAGCTAACAGGAGGATGTATTTCAGACGTCCATGTTTTCCTTTGTTCGAGAGGCCACTCAGCCCCTCCCCTCCCTCTTTCTGTCTGCTCTCTCTCTCTCTCTCTCTCTCGCGAAGACAGAACTATTACCAAATATTTTTTTGTAGAAAATTACATTTATACACATGATAATGTTACTGACATGGAGTCATATGATCACAGAACTTTGAGTTAGATTATAAAGAGGCATTATTTTATTTTTATCTCCGAGGCGTCTGGAAAAGTTTTTTTCCCTACATTTTGGTGATATAAAAGTTAGAATGATCTTAGAGAGCACTATACTTTTGGAAAAAATAGGGCTTAGGATAGCAGTTGAATGCAGAATTCGGTTTTCAGAATCTAATGTTTAAAATGTTAATATTAATTATTTCATAGGTTTATTTTGATTTGTAATTAATCATTGGTTTTGTATGGTAATTAACACACTTGTTTGTGCTTCTTGTTTGTCTGTTTTTTTCTGAGAAAAACTTCTGTCTGTTTCATTGGCCAAAACCCCGTCACAAGCCTCAACTGAGCGTCTACTAAAAGGGACCATCGGCGTCTTCCCCGACCCACAGGGGGGCAGCAAAGACAGCAGCATCGGCTGCAGCAACTCGAAGAAGACTCCTCCAGCCTCCAATTCCTGTGAGAAGGCAAAGAAAAGACCGCAGACTTTTCACAAACTGAGTGCTGACCCATCCACGGAACAGAAGAAATGCGTAATGCGAAAAAATAGGCCGCCAACCGCCGAAAAAAAACAAGAAGAAGAAGGACACGACACATTTGTGTGCGTCAAAAATGAGACAAAGAAGACATGAAAGAAAAAGATTGAAAAGAAGAAGAAAGACATTATGAGAAAAAGTTATCGGAAGAAAAAAGAAAGTGATTGATTGAAAGAAGAAGAAAAAAGACATTGAGACAAAGACAGTGGACACCATGAGACAAAGACAATTGAAAGACGCCATAAGAGGAGGACTCGAGGGCTAAATGAAACAGACAGAAGGTAATATACAGACAGGCAACAAACGCACCAAGACATTAAGGACATTTAGGTCATATTTACACATTTAGGTCATACGTTCAAAACACTACATTTAACTGCATGAATGATTACAAGACAATCGTCAAAATTATTAGACTCTTACTTTAGCATGAGACACAAGAAGATTAGAACAGCAGTATATTTGTGCATGATTTAGATGAGTTTT